GTAGCAGAACAGCACCCCCAACCTAATGATCTCAGACTGTGTGTGTATGTGTGTGTGTGTGTTTAAAGTATCCATTTTTCTTTATAAGAAAGAGATCCTAAAATCCCCTGCCATTTTGGTCACTTCTTTGGGTAATATAGATTTTGTTAAATAATCCCTCTTTAAAGCAAGAAACTTAATTGATTATTTCAGGTGTTACTGTCAAGAATAAGGTTTGACTTCCCCGACGCACAATGATGGAAAGGGAATCATTGTCTTTAACAGCTTCTATGACATCCGCTGTGGTTGTAACAGGTTGCCCATTTATGCTGACAATTATATCATGGTCTCTCAACCCCGAGCTGGGAAAAAAGAAAAAAAAAAGCGTGAAAAATATGAGTTTTACTTGTCTCCATCTAGAATGTAATATCTCTCTTACAGCAGTACAATTTTGCTTACACTAAACATATAAACCAGGAAACTAGAAATAACTTAATCCTTCCAAATATGAAGGAACTTCTGTGACATGTCTTGCAAAATCACTTGGACGACAACAATCCCATTTACCTTTAGAAAATTAATAGTCCATCAGAAACAGGGTAGTAAGTTTGCTACTCGCTACTCTCATATATCAAATTTGATTTGGAATGGAGAGTTTAGCTTTTAATTTCTATGCATTTCTTGACTTCTTTTCACCTCAAGCACATTCCTACTCTCACTAGCAAAAGTGCAAAGACCAGGCAACACAATTTTCACCACAGTTGTACTCCAATCAGTTCGATTTGAACAGTTCACAGTTTATGGAACTGGAGAGTATGCTGAGCTGCCTTATAGAAGTTCTGCTTCAGTAAATCAAGAGCCAGTCAAACTTCCAAGTCTAAATATTAAACTTTGGGGTCTAAGCTCCTTTTCCCCAAAGCTGTGATTGTATTCAGTTTCCAACATATATGCTTCACACAGAATATATATTCTAGAAATAAAGAACAGCTCCCAATACAAAACTGCAGTAAATATGTAGCCAGGCTTGTGATCTGCCTTAAAGGTTAAAATAAACTGAAAGAGGGACATCAAATGACTCCTGAAGTCATAACTAAGAGAATGGAGATTAAAGAATTAATGGGGAGCACAGGATAAAATGAAAATGTAGAAAGATTACCAAAATATGTGAAGCTTAAAAAGAAAATAGGAAGGGCTGGGGGCTGGGGATATAGGTCAGTGGTAAATTATGTGCTTAGCATCTGCATGGCCCTGGATTCCTAATACAAAAAAAAAAAAGAAGAAAAGAGGAAATTTAAAGCATGAGGTTTTGAAGAAACGCTTTAAACCTTAAGAGCAAGAACAGTTTAGGGGAATAACTTGGGCCACGTGCACAAAGAAAGAGGAACTTAATTCATAAAAGTTCTGTGAGTGGGAAAAGAAGAAAGAAAACTGAGTTATTATAGAGTGTCTATTATGCACCAAATGTAAAGAAATAAGCTCAAAACAGGATAAATGACCTTCCCCATATCACACAACTTCTGAGTCTAAAGTAGGCTTTGATCCTGGGTCTTTCATACCTGAAAAAGCTATCTTCTTGCCACTAAATCACTCAAGAAAGAGAACAGCAGCCACAAAAACAGTATAATAAAGGGGTTAAGCCAGAGTCCACCTCCCAGCTCTCTGGCCTATTGTTTAACTTTTAATCAACATCTATGTACCACAGCTACTTACTTCCCTGCAAAATAATACCCATATCATAAAACTACTGGGGGCTCAAACAAGTATGTAAAAAACACTTTAAGCTGGGCACAATGGTATGCACCTATAGTCACAGCCATTCAGGAGGCTGATGTGGGAGGATCATCAGAAGCCAGCAGTTTGAGTCCAGGCTGAGCAACATAGTGAGACTCTACTCCATCTCAAAATAAATAAATATATATATAAATATATAAATAATATATATATGCATACACAAAACACTTTAAATATATGCACACACACAATATATATGCACACACAAAACATACTAAAGTGAATGAGATGTAGTAAATGCTTCCTAAGTGCCAGCTGTTATTACTGTAACTATTATTATTATTATTATTATTATTATTATTAGGTATAAGTAGGGGAAAGCCAGAAAGGAGGGATTTCCATTTATCAGGGATTTCTAGCAGTAATTCTTACTTCTAACATTACATACAAACCATCTAGGGATTAAAATGCAGGTTTAAAATGCAGATTCTGGCTGTAAAATAGTATGTTCTTGGCTTGCTAAAGACCCTAGATTTGATTTTCAGCAGGGAACCCGGGGTGGGAGGAGAAAAAAGGAAGAGGTGAAAGAGAAAATGCAGGAGGTTCAGTGGCTGGAGGGTGCAGCTGTGATTATTCCTTTCTTACTGGCTCCAGCTGATTCTAATTGCCACTGGTTTCAGACCATATTTTTTATTCTAATTTGTTGTATATGGCAGCAGAATGCATTGCAATTCATATTACACATATAGAACACAGTTCTTCATATCTCTGGTTATACACAAAGTATAGTCACACCATTCGTGTCTTTATGCATGTACTTAGGGTAATGATCAGACCACATTTTGAGTAGCAACAACTTAGAAAGTTAAAAGGACACTCTTTGGCCCTGGACCAGAAGTTTAAAATAAGGAAGTGAGAGCAGAGCAGGAATGAGGAAGGTCAATTAAGGCCTATGACAAACCAGATTTAGTAACACATGACCTAGCATTTAGCCATGCTGAAGGTTAGTATGGATGAATTTTCCATAAAATTTTTTTTTCTATAAAAGAGTTGATAGTCTAAACAGATTTCTGAGCGCTTAAAAAATAAAAACAGTCAGGCTGGGGATGTTGCTCAAGCCGTAGTGCGCGTGTGGCCCTGGGTTCGAGCCTCAGCACCACATAAAATAAAGATGTTGTGTCCACCGAAAACTAAATAATAAATGTTTAAATAAATAAATAAAAACAGTGAGGAAGAGGTTATGTAGATGTGCTAGACCAGGAGAATAATACTTGTAGGAAAAGCCACCTCTTTCCTAATATTAATAGTCCCACAATGAAACCAGCTGGAGAACCTTCTTTGGGGGACTGTTCTAACCATTGATTTGAGATGCAGATTTCAGCACTGGCTTCTCATACTACCATCTAGAGTCCAAACAAAAAGGTGTTTTTTAAAAACCAATGATATGTACGAAGACCTTTAACACTATGGATTCTTCCCGTTCTTATCAACTGATAGTTAATTACTTAACTATTTAAACTATTTAATTACCATTAGTTGATTGTCACAAATACCTAATACTTATTAATTACTTAATACTATAAGAGTTCATTGTTATTAATTAATATTGAATTTTTAATATTTTTAGTTGTGATTGAACACAATACCTTCATTTTATTTGTTTATTTTTATGTGGTGCTGAGGATGGAACCAGCGCTTTGCAATTACTAGGCGAGCACTCTACTGATGAACCACAACACGTGCCCATAAATATTGATTTTTTTTTAACTTTTTTTAGTTGTAGATGGGCACAATATCTTTATTTTTATTTATTTATATTTATGTGGTGCTGAGGATCAAACCCAGTGCCTCCAGTCAAGCCCAATACCTCACTCATGCTAGGCAGGCACTCTGCCACTGAGCTACAACTCCAGCCCCATAACTATTGACATTGAAAGAGTAGATTTGAGGGCCGGGAATGTAGCTCAGTGGTAGAATTCTTGCTTAGCACCGGGGTAAAAAAAAAGATTTGATAATTCCTACCAAAATTAATTTAAACATAGGTTTTTAACTCATAATAGCTCTTTCCAATAGAAACATAATGCAAACCACATGTCATTTTATATATTCTAGTAGCTACATTTTTAAAAAAAGGTTTAAGCAAATATAATTAATTTTAATGGTGTCTCCTATTTAACTCAGTACACCTAAAAAATTATCATTTTAACATGTAATAAATACTTTTAAATTTTTGATAGGTATTCTACACTCTGAGTTACAGGAAAACTTTTTAAATCCGTCCAGACAACACATGCTCAATATGCCATTGTAGGATAATAATATCTTACAGAACATACTAAATAAAATGAAATACTGTCTTTCTAAAACATATATAATACACGTGTGTGTGTGTGCGTATTACACTGCTTCTGGGATTTTTTACTTTTCATGTCAATTAAAATTAAATAAATTTTAAATTTAGTTCCTGATTCACAGTGGCCACATTTCAGATGTTCAACACACACCATGTGTAGGTTGTGGCCACAGTATTAGAGCAAGTCTAAAATCTCACATGCCTTTGCCATGACACACATCTAAATATAACATGCAAGGGCTGAGGATATAGCTTTTGATAGAGTGCTTGCCTTGCATGTACAAGTCCCTGGGTTCAATCCCTCAGCACCACCAAAAACAAAAAACAAAAAAACAAAGGCCTGCAATTTGCTTACCTTTCAGCAGCTGTTCCTTGAATTACTTCATACACAAAAACCCCAGAACTCACATCAGGGAAATCTGGATTTTGCCTTTTCATTTCTTGAAGAAGGCTAGAAGTGACAAGGTTAGCAAACAATGACATTATCTGCTGAGCCCTGATACAAACCTGGAACTCTTAGTAGGTACTCTGTCTGCTTAAGGTTCACAGGCACCCACGAGAATCCCTGCCAATCATGATCACTCTCCCCTGGGTGCTGTCCAATCCTCCATGCTAAAGCCTAGAATCACTGAGTATGATCTAATACAGCCCCAGGGAGAGAACAGTGAATGCTGATGCACAATGAGGCAGACACATACCCTATGACAAATAGACCCTCTGGTCACAGGAGTACACTCACTGAAGTCCAAATGTTTTCACTTTCCTATTAAGACTATCCAGCTATGGCTTTTGCCTCTGAGAAATAACCCAGATGTGGTCAAACTCATGCTTACTTCAGAGTGAGGGGCAGCATTCGCAGACCCAGATATTTCTTCTGCAAAGGAGCTTTTCCTAGAAAGGAAAATTGTAATGTGTGACTAACAAAACTTCTTTTCTTTTGGCAGAGCTTAAAGACACCCAAATCCCAGAATTTCTGCTATTATAGCTGCCCTTGCACACTGCCTGCTGTGAAATACATGCTTCAGAGAACGTTTCCCCTCCCCACCTCCAGCCCATGGGTTTCAATTCAAGTGCCTTTGGGTACACCTCATGCTTGGTTTTGTGCCTAGTCCCCCCATACAGCCACCCAACCCACCATTATAAGCTCTGAGAAATGATGATCCAGCATGTAGAACTCAAATGGCAATCTCCATTAGAACTGAGTCAGTTCCTGAAAAATAAGAGGGAACAAGAAAGCCCAACTACCTTCACCTTTCAACTGGCGCTCGTGATAGTCTGCCAAGAACTGTCTGATGCGATCTGAGGGAATAGCGAAAGAGATTCCTGCGGTCACTTTCAGGGTGTTTATGCCAATCACATCACCATCCTGGCAAGGAAGGGGACATCATTCAGTCATGAAGCTTTGCAAACTGAACAGTGCAAAAATCAGGAAAGCGCATGTGTGTGGGGCAGGGGAAGTAGTCACTTAGGATCAAAAACAGAGTTGAGAGGAAATTTGCATGTCTTCAATAGAGAGTATGTTACTTTACATGGCAATTAGTACAATAGGACAGGGAAGAGAGGAGAGGTGTACTGGGGTAAAAGTTACTGCTTCCTGATCAAAGTGTCAAAGCTGCTGATGACTGCTTTCTCTCTTTATTTATCTTGAGCTCATTTTTTTCTTCAGTAAATTACATTGATTCTTAAAAGTGAGCCACACTTTGGATTTTGACACAAGAGGACAAGGAGTATTTGCCTTTTTATTACTTAAGTGAAACTAAAAATAAACATGGAAAAAGACAAAAAGCTGTTGGATATTTAGCAACATTTAGAAGAATCAGCAAAACTGATCTTAGTGAACAAATGTCTGCTCAACCAAAGTTATGAAGTAGAAAATACTTTCGGGCTAGAGCTGTGGCTCAGTGGTAGTGCACTTGCCTGGCATGTGTGAAGCACTGGGTTCGATTCTCAGCATCATGTATAAATAAATAAAAGTCTATTAACAACTAAAAAAATATTTAAAAAAGAAAATACTTTCCTCTTGCCAGGCCTCATGGAACATGCATGTAAAACATGGGAGGTTGAGGCAGGAGGATTGCAAATTCAAGGCCAGCCTCAGCAACTTAGTGAAACCCTCAGCAATTTAGTGAGACCCTATCTCAGAATAAAAAGTAAAAATGACTAGGGATGTAGCTCCGTGGTAAAGCATCCTGGGTTTAATTCCCAGGAAAAAAAAAAAAGAAAGAAAGAAAAAGACTACTTTCCTCTTCATTCACTTTCTCATCCTTTAGCCCTTGTTAGTAATGGTAATGATAAAAAGAGAGAGAGAGAGAGAGAGATTTTTGATTGTAGGAACATACAGATTATAATTCAATAGGTCTGGAATATGGCCAGTGAATTTCATCCTTAGCCTAGTGAACTCTTTGTTTAATGGAGAAGGCAGGCCCCCAAAATTACATGCAATGTTATAAGTAAACAGTGCTCAACCATTTCACATACAGTTAATTCTCTTAAAAGCAAATGTAATATGTAAAGAATAAGCAAAAGCAATCAGTTCCAAGGGACTTAGAAAGCATGAGTCAAACTGCATTGTATTCAGTTGTATTTTCACATGTATTTGAGCAATTTAAAACCCTGGCATTTCCACTAGAGACACTCCATAAAATTTAAGAAAGAAATACATAACAGAACAATGGATTCTGGTTGGTACTTTTTTTTGTCATCAATAAGCAGGTCAAGACTAAACACCTGGACAGAGCACATTTTATAATTAGCATTTCTAGATGAGGAACAGCTCTTCATGTGCACCAGGTGAGTCTTGAAGAATACACATTACAGAGCACGGTTGATCCTTTGGTTTAAATCCAGGCTTTTGGTAACTATCTAATGAAAACAGAAAGCATGTGGAAGAGGAAACCTTCAAGGTAAGCACAGCCAAAACCCTGGTGCTTTTGGGGGGATGAGATCACACACCAGGATGATAAATCCATCATAGATATTGAATGTTTTCCTAACCATTTACTTAAATCCAAGAATAGAAAAGCATTTTTCCACAACTCTCTACACAAGAGTAACTCCCAAATTTGCATCATAGAATTTGGAAAGTTTTTGAAAGTTAGGAAGAAATATGAAGCAGCAAGAAAAATGGCCACTTACCAAGTTCACCAAAGGCCCCCCAGAGTTTCCATGCTAAAGACAGAAGTTGAAAAAACCATCAGTAAAGCCAATGAATATAGTTCTCCATGTCATTTATACATAGTTCCTAATGAAGCTTATCAGAAGCAGCCTGCTCTAGTGAGCTCCCAAAATCGTGTCACCTATCATCCCCAATACTGAAGTCAGTATAGGTGAAGACCAATAGCTAAAGGACCCCACACACTACAGTAGTGATGGCCTTTATGTCTAACCCTGAGAGACCATCTGATAGTATGAATGCTAATTATCACATCCAACAGGCTCAACTCTAACTACATGAGCATTCCATTCCTCTCCTAGGGTCTAACTGACCTCTTAGCATACAGAAAGGCCAAAGGGAAAAGAGGTTGCTCTGAAGTCTTCTCATTATATACTACCAGTGTCTTTTGCACTGAGACTAGACTTCCTAAGTGACTTACATTAATAATGGCATCAGTCTGTATGTAGTCCATGTCTGAGTCCTTCAGCCCCAGCTCTTTGCCCCCTCGCTGTGTGGTGCTGACAATCCCTGCAGTCACCGTGTTCTGTAGAGAAAATGGGCTGCCCAAGGCCACCACAAATTCTCCAGCCCGAAGGTCAGATGATCTTCCCAGCAGCAACACAGGGAGGTCAGTCTGCAAATAGGTGAGGAGGGCCGAGGAGGACAGAAAGGGCAAAGAACAAATCCCAACCAGAATCAACCAATGTTTGCCTATAGCACACCAATGACACCATCTCTGTCATTTTGGCCCTTATCTAAGAAGTACCCTCTCATACAAGTTTTTTTTTTTTGATTGCCTTCTTTCTCAAAGTCCAACAACCACCAAGCTCTTAGTTGTTAAGATGATCAGGATCATCTCTGAGATTATTATTTCATAGAAATCACAATTAGTAAACCACCAGCGAAGCAACTGATGGACATGAACGGACATTGACAATGCACTTAGCACCATTCCAGCTCAACTGTGTACAGTGACTAAGCCACCAACAAGAAGGAGATCACCCCAAACAGCAATTCTCAAACTGTAATATGCACATGAAACACCTGGGGATCTTATCAAACACATTTCTGGCCAGGCACAGGGACCCATGCCTGTAATCCTAGCTATCTGGGAGGCTAAGGCAAGAGGATTGCGAGTTGGATGTCAGCCTCAGCAATTTAGCAAGAACCTGTCTCAAAATTAAAATTTTTTAAAAAGTTTAAATGTTCTCAGATGACATGTTGATGCTTTTAGTATATACACCACTCTTTGTGTAGCAAGGACCTCAAAGTCTGCCTTAGCAGTTTTGAGCCAATTGCAATAATTTCTGGTATCTTAAGCAGAAAAATTATTTTCTCAGAATCAGCATCTGCTGAAGAAAAATCACAGGAGAGAGAGAGCTAATTAATATAGATTATCAGAGATGTACAGACAGGTATGAGAGAAAATTTTAAAAAGAGGGAGTGAAAAACAGGAAAAAAAGCATATACTAGATAAAAAAGAATGTAGTGTGGGAGCGAGGGAAACAATATATCAGCAAATAGAAGAAAATACGCCGACTCTGACTTGGCTTCTAAATACTTACATTTGGCTCAATCTTAATCAGTGCAAGATCCAACTTATGGTCAATGTCCTTGACAGTGGCTTCATACTGGACCCCACTTTGAAGCTCCACCTGGATCCGATGCTGGTTAGTGAGGACATGAGCATTGGTAACAATGAGCCCATCCTCAGACACTATGAACCCAGAGCCACTGGATGCAGGCATTTCCTTGCCGCTGAGAGGTGACCTGTCTCCATAAGACAACAATATAAGCCGAGGGCAGGAAGCTCAGGGACTCCAGCCACCATCTGTGAATCATGGGAACCTGACATTTATTAAGCCTATCTCCATCTCCATTTCCTCAGACATTTTATTTTTCACTGTCAGTTTTCATCTTCTCCACATGTAAATGAACTGCATGTATCCTGCCCTGGCCATCTCTGGTGAACATGATTGAAAGCTGGTTCCAACTCCCCTTTTCTCCGAGGCAATGCTCCCTCTTCAGAGCTGGTCAGTGCAGCACTCTGTGAGTCCTCTGCTGCAGAGAAGCCCAAACCTAATCCTAATATTGTGGGGATATATTGCCACAGGTTCAAGAACTCAGGCAGGTAGGGAATCCAATGGTTCTGGTTCTGGCTTAGTTTTCACTACAAATTAGCCTTGTGGCATAAGATAAATTTTTTCCTCAGGCCAGGCATAGTGGCACATGCCTGTAATCCCAGCAGCTTCAGAGGCTGAGGCAGGAGGATCACAAGTTCAAAACCAGCCTCAGCAATTTAGCAGGACCCTGTCTCCCCCGCCCATACTGGGGATTGAACTCAGTGGCACTTAACCACGGAGCCATATCCACAGCTCTTTTCTGAATTTTATTTAAAGACAGGGTCTTACTGACTTGCTTAGGGCTAAATGGCTGAAACTGGCTTTACACCATGGCTGGCGGGACTCTGTCTTTCAATCAAATATTTTAAAAGTCTGGGGATATGGCTTGGTGCTTAAATGCTCCTGGGTTCAATTTCTGGTACAAAAAAAAAAAAAATCTGCCCGCTGGATTTGGATTTGCTGGATTTGGATTTCCTGGATTTGGATTTCCTTGCATGCAAGTGATGGGGTTGGGCAAGATCACCACCAAGATTCCAACTGGCTTCAAATTTTATCTTTGGGGCATGAGGGAGAAAGAAATCTCAGGCACCTGAGTATGCAGAAATAGCTCAGATTTGGAGGCCAGAATCCTTGTGTCCTTGTGCCTCTGCTTCTCATCTAAATAGCTTTGAACAGATTTTTGTTGTTGTTGTTGTTGTTTTATTTTTGTTGTTGTTTGTTTTGTTTGTTTGTTTGTTTGTTTTTGAGGTGCTGCAGATGGAACCCAGGGCCTTAGTACATGCTAAGCAAGCACTCTGCCACTGAGTTCCATTCCCTGCACCTCGGTTTCCTCACAGTGGTTTTTGTTTGGTTGGTTGGTGGGTGGGTTTAAGATTCAATGATGCTTGTAAAGGCCCTAGAGTAGGTAAGGCAGTGGGAAGCAGTATCGGGTAATTGATCCTCCTGTGTCTTTTACCTGCGAAACAGCTGCAGGTGAACCACAGATGGCGCCACCTTCTCCACCACCTCGGCGATGAAATTGTATTTGCTTCGGACCCTGCCTGCGCTTCTGGTCCCTGTGAAGAAATGCTCCGTGCTTGGGGCAGAGGGAGCCTGGCTCCTCTACAATATCAGGTGTAATATCTCATTCATATCTTCCCATCCATTATCCTCCTCCCTGGTTCTCTTTCCGTCCCCTCCCTCTCCTCAGGCTTCCCACTCCGCCTGTGGACTGCGGCCCCATACACCAACACCTCAAGAGAGCCAGACCTGTCACACCAGTTGGAAAATAATTACAAAGGGAAAACAGTATTCAAAAGGCGAATGGGGAGAAACCGCGTGGTAACTGGTAAAAAGACAAGGAGGAAAGAAAATCAGAAATAAACAAACAAAAAAAGTTGAATCCCTTGGGCAAATAAAACAGTGTGATTGAAACGAGGGAATGAATGATTATGCTTAAATTCAAGGATTGGGGTATTGCTCAGTGGTAGAGCGCTTGCCTAGTACGCCCGAGGGTGCTACCCGCAGTCCCCCCAAGAAAACCGGGCGTTGGTGGGGCGGTAGCCGGGGCGGTGGCACACGACTCTTATCCTAGCTACTCCGAAGACTGAGGTGGGAGAATCGCTTGAGCCCAGGAGTTCGACAACAGCCAGGGCAACAGAGGAAGAAGAAAAAAAGTTCCAAAAAAGTGTTCCGAGTCGGGACACTCCTGGGTTCAATCCCTAGTACAAAAAAAAAAAAAAAAAAAAAGACCTGCCCGCTGGATTTGGATTTGCTGGACAAATCCAAATTTGTCCTTGCGCTCACCTGGATCCCCGCAGTACCCTTTCTGCACCGGCACAGCTGGGAGCGCGCCACGGAGACGCGCGGCGCGGTTCTCTGCGCGGAGCGCGCACAGACTGGCATAGGTGCGCCCGTCGCTGCCGCACACCGCCGCCCCTGTCGCCGGGCAGCCGCAGGTGCCCAGCCAGGGGCCGCCGACGTACTCCTGGCTGAAGGGCGAGCCACATTTCAGCCCAGGGCCGCAGGGCAGGCCTCGCGCCCCGCCGCAGGCTTCGCCCTCAGCTGCAGCACAGACGCGGCAGCAACGGCAGCGGTCGAGCACTGGTGTGGTCCCCGCGGAACAGGTGGGCAGCGGGGGACAGCGCGTCGGCTCGCAGACCACGGGGCAGGGCAGCAAGGCTCTGGATCTCCTTGCCTCGACCCTGGCCACAGGTACCGGGGTCAACAGCAGCCACAGCAGAAGGAACTGTACGAGCCCAGCTGGCTGCAGCAGAGGTCTACTCATCTTGCTTGCTTCTTCGCTTGCACTTTTCCAGTTACTTCACTCTGGACTCACAAGCTGGCCTAAGATGAACAACACTTTCCTGGCCAGGTTGCCTGCCGCCTCCACCAGCCTCCAGGCTTTAAGGGGCAGAGCCTGGCAGACCTCTCCGTACACACACCCACACATCACCCACCACCCATCCCGCCCCAGGTTCAGGGCCATCCCCAAGCACTGCTGGCAGGTCCGTAGCCCTTTCCTGAGAAGAGATCTACACCATGAGCCCTGTTAAAGCAATACTGAGGGCAAACTGACAAGAGCCATCACCCACCCAAGGTCGGTATTAAGAAAACACACAACCCTATTACAGTATTTCACATGGTTTTATTACAAAACAAGCAACAAAACAGTTTTAGAAAATTATTTTTGCTACATACCAATTAGGAGATCACATAAAGTGAGAAGCATAACAGTTTCCATGCACTCAGCTCAGTGCTTGCAGTGAGTGCATTTCACAGCTGAAACAGTTTGATTCAACATAACACAACATCATGCCACATCTTCATAAGCAGAGGGGGAAGGGGTCACATAATATGTTTTTGCCAAACAGTTGCTTCATTCAAACTCTACCTATCGAGTGTGACTGTAATTGCTGCAGGCAATAACACAGAAAAAAAAAAAAAAGGACCAAGGGGAAAAAAGGGTGTTGGTAGAAAATATTTAATAAACCTGCTCATTTCTGACATGTTTAAAGTTAATAAAGAAAGCTGACTTGAGAAATTAAATTTCCAAAATGCTATTAATGTGTCCATACACCTGTTTATCTGGTTAACACTGAAAACAAACTCAACATACCCCCCTGCTTACCTACTGAATCTGAATCTGCTATTTATTTATGGGGTCATTTTAATACATATCAGAGCACATTTACATTCAGAGAGAAAAAAAAACCCAACTTTTTCTTCCAGTAAACTAAGACTCTACACCTTAAATCTACTCTTTCTCATAAGAGCTCAGCATTCTGCTCTGAAGTAGAAGTATAACTCCACTATTTTGACCTAAGGTCTTTCTCCAAGATGTGCCCCTACAATGTCTCACAGAAAGCAAAAGGGAAACTATTTTTACCAACTATCATCTCACCTTAAGTAAGCGAGTCCATCAAAGTTTTCAAGAATAATGGATGGTAAGCAGTTCAGCTATAGAAAAGACCACCTGAAATACTGTTACACATATGTGGGTCAGGACAACTTCAAAAGCCTCATGGAAAGAGCCAATTCAGGGGCTGGGGTTGTGGCTCAGCAGTAGAGTGCTGGCTTCGCAGGTGCAGGGTGCTGGGATTTGATCCTCAGCACCACATAAAAACAAAATAAAGGTATTGTGTCCAACTATAACTAAAACATAATATTAAAAAAAGAAAGAGCGAGCCAATTCAGATGAAGTTTCATTCCCCAAAGAAAAAGCTGTACCTTTTTTAGTTCTTTTAAAAATCCAGATTTATTCCAGAGCTTAAGCACTTAGCCACTAACCCCTATGGCATCCCCAACCCATTTTTTCTATTTGATTCAATTAAATGCTATGGTCATATATGTACCATCTTTGGCTCATATTAAAAGGCTCTGGTGTGAAACTGGCCAGAAGGTAAGAAATATGGACAAAGATGGAATTTTGAAATAAGGTTTGGGAATGCAATGCTTTTAGGCTTTATGGAAGATATTTTTATTTTCCTGATATTGTAACTATGTTAATGATGTTCTAACTTGGAATTCCCAAGTATTCCTAAGTATATACCAATAAGAGTCCTTGTTTTCCCTTTATTAAGATAATACTAGCTGTATTATATTTAACACCCTTTCAAAACAGACTTTACTAAATGAGAATTCTATCAGCTTACTATAATGGTCAATTACTTAAGCAGTAGTAACCTAGCAGAGATTTACAAAAAGAAAATGGGTATATTTTCACAATTTAAACACCAAGAGATGACATCATTTCTATGAGTCAGGGAATGTTTGAAGAGATTTAAAACATTAATTTATTTTCATTAGTTCCACATCACATACTGTGCACTTGTATTTATTAGCCAAATAATTTTCTTGAGAAAAATCTGAAGGTGAAACCAGAGACAAGGAACTTTAAAAATCTGGAATGGCTTCTTAAAATCAGGCTATTCAAAGTAGGTTGATCACTCATAAATAAATAATTCCCAAACCAAGAATTTCTGAGGAAAAAAGTACACAAGAATTTATTTTTAAAAGAAGATGGGAATAAAAGAGAAAGATCCAGTAGATTTCTCTTTTTAGATTAAGACCACAAGACTAAACTTAAGTGAAGGACAGCTCCAACACAGTGAAATCAGAAAGAGTTCTCAATGTGAAACACATTTCAGAAAAACAGCACTACCTGGAAGAACATGATTCTTTTCAAAGCCACTAAAAATTTCTTCTTCAAGTGTTTTTGCTTCTGCATTAGCTATGGACACAAGGAGGAGCCGGGATTTATTTAGGAAAAAATGCTTAGTCTCTTCCTCTAGTTACTATTTTCAATTAAAGTATAATTAACTGATCTAGCTGATGAAAGCTAAAATATGATAGAAATAAGCCAAGTTCTCTATCCCTTTATGAAACCCTCCTAAGTTTCTGATAGCAATGCACTAAAGAAACTGGATAGGCAAAAGTGCCCAAGGACACTAGAAATAGTATCTTGTCCAGTGGAAGAAAATATGCCCTCAAATTTATTTGGGCAACTCAACCTCCTGGGAAATCTCTAGTCAGTAATTTGTAATCTCTAAATCAATGATTTTATGCCCCATTTTTATTCCACTAAAATATAATCTCAAGATTATCTTTGTATTTCTACACATAGAACCTCATCAGATTACAGGGTCTGATCATGCAAGCACACACAACTCCATCCAAAGGGCAACAGAAAGGACAAAAAGGAAGCAAATCTGCCAAGGTATATAATAAACAGCACTTAAAATTAGACAAATGTTGGCCCATCAAAAAGAGCTGTGAGGCAAGGACTCAAGGCAATCTGTCTTTGCCAGAATAAAACTTTTCTCCTATCCAGAAAACATGGATCAAAAAACTTAGCAGGATGATCCATCTCTTCTCAGCACCTGCTTTTAACCTATCTAAATCTCTGAGATAGAGATTGATCTATCACACGCATGAATCATCACACGCTTACCAACCCCACACATTCCAAGTAACACCATTATCAAGGGAAATGTCTGTTCTGTTCTCAACAGTCATAGTATTTAACACTGATATACCGGTCCTTGGGGCCTGATAGAGAAACAATTCTAATGGGTCTGTTCCTCAATCTATAACATTTGGGGTCATAGCATCAAGAGAACAGAGTAATTTTCAAAACTGGCTCATGCAGTAGAGTTGAATTATTCCTCAGGCCTCACAAAAGATCCCCATCTCTTCTCCTGGGAGGTATCCTAGGGGACCCACCCTTGCAGACATATTCTAAAGGCCGCCCTCCAGATTCTAAACACTACCTCTCAGAACGGCTCCCTGTCAAGCCAGAATCTGGGTTTTCCCCTACTCTGAAGCCTTTCAGCCTTTCAACTGGGTTAGTTACCTGCTTCACAAACTTAAACCAATACATAGGTATGGACTAAAACCAGGTGACTGGCCTAAGAGCCTGTGCCCAGATTGAAAACAAAACAAAATAAAACAAAATAAAACAAAACAAAAAAACAAAACTAAAAACAAGGACAAGGAAGTAAAACTTGGTAAGGGCGAAATGACTCCCAACCTCTTCAGAAACGGAGATGCTAAAGATAGCCCATCACACAAAAGACCTTGGAATAGATCAACAAGAGGCAAGCTGCTCTCTCTTCACTGAGTATGCCTACAGATCTAACCTAGTGATTTCCCCCAAATTAAATATACTGCATTGATAATACAAAAAAAGGAAAAAAAAAAGCCACTTGGCTGGGCCCCTCCCACACAGCATCCACAGGAATATGAGTGCCATTAAGGGCTCTGACTGTCCTCCAACAAGGAGAGAAAATGAGCCACGGCCTCTTTCTCTCAAGTCCTCCCTCCCTCCCCCACTTCCTCCCACGGCACTGTGCTTCATCACACGTCGGAGGTCCGTATGTTTTCATCGTCAAGGTTGAACACAAAGGGTTTCTCCTTGGGGTGCTGGGGCTCTGATCTGTGCCTTATCCGGGAGCCTGACAACACCCCAGCAGTACTGCTCTCCCCAAGTCGAGGCATGAACAGAGAGTCCTCTGGAGTCTCTTCAGCTGGAAGCAGCTTCTCCCCAGCCTGGGGGACAGGTGTCCAGGGTTGCCAAGCAGAGGCCACAGAAGGGGCTTTGCAGAGGGTTTTCTTCTCTTCCACAGGTGGCCGCCCTCTGCAGAAGACAGAGTTAGGCCCCCCTGTGAAGCCGGAACTTCCAGGTCGAGTCAAAGAAATGGATCTGGAAAAGGATATGTCCTGGAAACAAAAAAAGACAAGAAAAAAACAAAGGAAAGTAAGAGCTTTTCCTGACAATGTTTATCCCAAAGCCCCAAGAAAAAAATATCCACCCAGGACCACCACCTCATAGGTCCAGAGACGCTTGTCTACAAAAATCAAATATGAGATATAAAATGATTGATTCATAATGGGGTACGGGACAGGGAGCATGGGAGGAATAGACAAACTCTAGATAGGGCAGAGGGGAGGGAGGGGAAAGGAGGGGGCATGGAGTTAGAAATGATGGTGGAATGTGATGGACATTATTATCCAAAGTACATGTATGAAGACACAAATTGGTGTGAACATCCTTTATATACAACCAGAGATACGAAAAATTGTGTTTTATATGTGTAATATGAATTGTTATGCATTCTGCTGATGTTTATTTTTTAAAAATCAATAAAATACATTAAAAAAAATCAAAAACGTGTGGCAAAGCCAAGTACAATGGTTCGTACTACGCGGGAGGCTGAAGCAGGAGAAACACTTGGACCTAGGAGTTCAAGGCCAGCCTGAGCCACATAGTAAGATCCTGCCTCAAAAAATAAAAAAGTTAAAAGGTTCACCAGAATTCACTCCATGTGTATCAGGGTCTGTGTAGCATCGAGACCTAAAGAAACTCTATGTTTCTGACCAACAGTACCTCATTTCTTC